TTCCAAAGCAGGCCTAACCTTAGCAGCTTCTGATCTCCATCGAGTAGCATACTCACGGAAGGTCTTTGTGGGTTTCTTCTTCAAGTTTTGAATATAGAACACATCTGGTGCATTCTCCGTGTTGAACCTGAATCTGTCCATAAATTCAGACGTCATGCTTACCCAACTCGACCACTTCTTCGGATCCTGGCTAATGTACCAAGATAAAGCGTCTCCCTTCAGGCTTCTCATGTAAAGCTTCATGCGGATTTTCTCGTCTCTTCCTACTCGACCAGCTTGTCACAGTATGTTCTCAAGTGGGCCCTTGGATCTCTCGTACCATCAAACATCTCGAACTTGGGAGGTTTGTACCCCTCGGGCAATTCGACATCGCGGTGTATGCAAAGATCTTCATAGTTTAGCCCCTCAATTCCCTTACTACCTTCAACGCCTTGAATTCTGCTAGTCAACTTCTTAAGCTCTTTGGCCAGATTTCTGATGAGCAAGTCCTTACCCTCGGACTCGGGTGTGCTTGAGATGGGCTGGGTAGAGTGTGGCACAGTCTCCACGTAGATGGGGGTATTATGTTGGGTGTGGCAGTGGTCATTTGTGGAGTTCTGGAGTTCTGGGATGAGCAGTGAGGTATCATTTGAGGTATGGCAAGTATTGCAGTGGTGGCGAGGAGCGGGATGGTTTTGTTGCTTTGGGATGTTTTGCGGAGGTACAAGATTCTGAGTTTTTGGGAAAGTAACCTCTGGAGTGGTGAGGGAAAAGGACAGATTCGCCAAATTCCGGACTTGATCAAGTTCTTCCTGAAACTTCAACATCTTTTGTTCTAGTTAGGATGCCTTTTCCTTGGGGACCAGAGTACCATGAGTGACCTCTACCCGTTCAACTGAGTTGTTCGAATTTTCCATTTTTCCTTTGTTTGTGTCTGATAAGACTAGGAGGAGGAGTAGGTGGAGGGCCCCTGGATCTCGTAAAATATGATGATGTTGCCAGAGTTCACGAACTAACCTTTGGGGAGGAGAATAAACCAAAATTAAAAACAAAAAAGTAATAAGTCAGTGAGGATTATAAAAAAAATGTTGCAATATTTAAACACGTAGTGCTGAAATATAAAGCGCGTCCTAATTTTGGGGACCTCGTTGTGCCCGAGGTAGGCCTAGGGACAAGTTAGTTTGGAGAACTTGGAATGCTAAATGCCTTATTTTATTGATAAAAAGTAGACGAATCCTAAAACGACACTGAATGACAAGAAAATAAAAATCAGTAATGGCCATTGGGCTTATTACATCTCATAAAGCGGAAATGGAAATTCCTATCTATTTGGTCCCAGCGGGACCTTCCTCAGGTTGAATGCTTTCGTTGATCAAATCCTCCAGCTCACGTAGGTTCACCAGTAAAAATGCCTTTGCCAGCTGTTCTCCCTCGTTTCCTTCAGAGTTTTGGCAGCCGGTGACTCTCTTCCTCACTTTTCCTTCCAATTCCAGCAGATTGTATTCCAGATATTCCAACTTTCCGCTAGCTTTGGCGGCTCTCTCCTTCCACTCATTGATTTGGTCATTTGATGGAAGACTCCTCCACCAGTCTAGCAAGAGTGGGGGTGTGCTAATCATACCGAAACTGGGGACCTCGTGCCTCATTTTCTGCAAAACAAGAAGGTTAGACCCTACCCCCATCGGACTCGACTATTAAATATCAATAATTAGCATTAAGCACTTAGTTCTCCAAATAAATGCACAGAACATGATGATATCCGTTTGGGTTTAGGGAAACTCAGTGGACTTTGGACAGGGCTATCTTAAAGAGTCATTATGCGGACAACATAACTGACTCTGCTAGGTTTGACCATGATGCATGAACAATTAAACAGAGTAAGGTTTCTATGGGGTATTAGACTGGTACTCTTGAGCGGACAACTCAAGAGGGAAAGGCACGGAACCGTCGACTACACCATTGATCGACTGGTTTTACCGCAAATATGCCTTTGCCGATTTAGGGGGTGATAATATCGGAAGAGCGCAACCACTCATTATAAGAGTTGCTATGGTATTTTGCTTGGCACGAGTGGAATATGATGTTGAAAACATGCTTATGCAATAACTAAAACAAGTTGCCACGTATTTGCACATTAATAATAATAATTACAATAATTTAAAACAGTAATACGGGATTGCAGTAAAGAAAAGCAGTAAAGAAAAGAAACAAAAAGACAAGATAGTTTCATGGTAGAAGAGGGAATTAAATGCTTAAAACAAGTAAAGGCTATAAGAAATGTAAAGTCACAGTAATAGTTTGAAATGGTAAAAGCCTAAAAGAATATCCCCAGCAGAGTCGCCATGCTGTCAATGCCCCCTTTTCTCGCGAAATCGGGTTTATGACATTTGGGAGGACAACTCGTTCCCTTTCGGGAATTGGGTTTAAGAGAAGTGAAGAGTCGCCACCTATTGATTAAAGTGCATTAGGTCACTAAGAAGGGTTTGAGTTTGGATAACCAGAGATTGGGTAAGGGCTTGAAATTATTCCAAGGGGAAGGTGTTAGGCACCCCTCAGAATCCACTAGTGTGGTTCCCGGCCAAGCTATTGTTGTGACTTTAGGGTACAAATAACATATAGACAAATAAGGCTTCAAATAAGAGGGGATTTTCACGTAAAGGTTGCAAATAGATGGAGTGAAAAGAAACAAAAGAAAAGCTGAATTTTGAGGAAAAAATAGTTTGATAAATTTGAAAATAAACAAGCAAAAGAGAGGGGGGGTCCTAGGTTTATAAATAATATGGATCACCCCACACAACACCCGGCAATCACTTATACACATGGTGTTATCGCGTGATCATCATATCCATATCTACCCTTTCCCACCGCGTTAAGGTATTGAAGCGCGGAACAGTCTCGTTTTCTTATTGCATGCCACTACCCGCCCCAATCCTATTAGTCCCGGAGGCATTTAGGACTACTAATCCTAAAGGGAAGGGATGTTGGGCTTTTACAGTTTCAAAGGTAAAAATACTAAGGCGACAAGCAAGAACACATATAACAAGCATGGGGAAAGCACATAAACAAATAATAAGGCTCAAACAAACCTCCTTAAACCAGAGAAAACACATAGTTTAGCATGTCTTGCACGTACTGTTTAAGGTCTAAATAAAACTTAAAAGAATTGGTGGCAGACTGATTTATTACGTAGATCAGATAAGAAGCATGAATCAGGCCCGCCTGCTGGTTGTAGTTAATAAAATCTGGTTCAGTTTACAAGTTTATCCTGAGGCTTGCCTAAGTGATAGACGAAACCTATAGGCATGATATCTACTGATTTCAGAAACAAAAGAAGAAGACCGATTGCAGATTGATTTAGGTAAAAAGAAAGTTGCTAGTTAAAAAAACGAGCACAGGTTCTGCCATTGGTAATGCCAGTTTTAAACTTATAAACGAATGAGGCGATCTAGATTTGAATTAGAACCCCTATAGGCATGCTTTCTATGTGTTTGTTGACTTTAAACACTGTTATAGACAGAGAAGTGCAGCAATCCTACAACATGATATCTAGGTGTTGCATTTTTATTACGAGCATGATATCTAATTACATTGGTTATTAAAGCCTATAAACACGTTTGCCTAATGAGAGATGAGTATGCAAGAACCAGAAAGGACCTATAGGCATATTATCTACATGCATGTGCATCCTATAGACATGGTGTCTATGTATGAGTGCAGAAATTCCTATAGGCATGTTATCTAAATGAGAATGCAGAAGTTCATATGTTCCTATAGACAAGTTATCTACATGGTATGCAGAAATTCACAAGTTCCTATAGACAAGTTATCTAAATGATATGCAGAAATTCACAGGTGAACTATAGGAAGGATATCTACATGAAAAATGCATAAATCTTATTGGCATGGTAACTACATGAAAATGCATAAGTTCTTATAGACATGGTAACTAGATAAAAAATGCAGAAATTAGAGATTCCTATAGGCAAGTTATCTACCCATATACATGCATAGTTACCCCTCCCTTATTACTAATCATCCCCAAAAGTTTATTACAAAGTTATTACAGTCCAAAGAAAATAAAGAAAATACATCAGAAATTGAAAATTACAACCAAGGAGAGCCTGATTAAGACTTCCTGTCTGAAGTATGAAGTAAACCAACACCAAAGATCAGATTTCAAAGCCTTTCTCTCATTTGGGGTGTGTCAGAGTTCCCTAAGAGCCTCACATGAACTCCGGGCAGTGCATACACCCCAAATACATTACCAGACTAGGGCAAAGTGCAGTGTGGAAGAGCCATCCCTCAAGTGTCCAAGATCAGAGGGAACTCAGGGTCCCAAGGCAAGGCTTACAGGAGGGGGGCAGAACCTAAGAACTAAGACAGAGTGGAAGTGCAGGATTCTGAAAGGGGAAAGGGGAAAAGGGAATAACTTCAAATCAGCACATATAAGGGTGTAGGGGAGTGGATATTTGCAAGAACATAAGGAGAGCGGGCTGATGGGCACACTCAGTAATGGGAGATGCTGGCACACCCTCCAGCTTGTTTAAAGGTTAAGGTTCAGAACTCAGTTCATGAGCAACAACTCATATTGCCATGCCCAGAGTCCACTCACAAACACATAGGGGTAAAAGATTCATAAAAGAAACAAGCAGTAGAACATAGGCATTACTAAACTAAATATCAAACTCCACAGAAAACAATAAAGAAGACATGGATACAAAAAAAACTTTAAGTAAACACCTTGGGGTGATGCTGAAACTTAAATTAGAACATACCAGTTTCAATGAAACAAGTAGAAAAGGCAGTAGTCTTGTAAAAGCCAAAGTGCAAACAGGAAGACAAAATACTATCAGTGTGAGTTCAAGAGAGATTTTGAAATTGTAAGGTCTGAAATGTGTTAATCGTGTGTTCAATCGTGTGTCCAATAGTGTGTTCAATCGTGTGTTTTGTGAAAAGAGGGGTCATATATTTATAGTGTGGAAGTCATGATGAAATAAGGTAAGAAAATAATTGAAGACTGATTGTAAATCAATCATATAAGACTCCCTTTAATTAAGTGATTCAAATTCAAACGGGTATAAAACAATTAAGGAAAGAAATTAATCAAACACTTGTGTAAAGCATGCAACTGAGGGTAAATACATAAAGGTTATTTAAGGACAAGGTCTCTGAAATACACGGTTGTACAATTTAAGGAAAGAAATTCAATTAACAGCCAAGAAATCACAAGGTCTGAGATTTGGTATGAATGAACCAAGTCAAAAAGATGGAAAAGATTTTAACTTAAGGAAAATCAACAAACAATCAATTAGACCTATTAAAAAGGAATTCTGAGTCCATCACTAGTTTGAAAACCTTTTTGAAGAAGGATTCATCACATATAAATCGTACAGACACGTTAAACATGAAAGAAATGTGTCGAGCCATTGTAGAATCAGTAAAAACTCCAATGTAGGAGAGTTTTAGTAAAAAGTTCAGAATTGTACAAAAGAGGTCCAAGCTCAGCTCAGAGACTCAAAGTCAGTCTGAAGGAGTTAAGGGTTCTAAAATAAAACCCTAGTTCACATAATCAAACCTTGGCGGAATCCCCAAATTCTAGGGTTTCCACCTAGAATCAAATACAGGGATGAGGAGGCAAGTAGTCGAAACCAGCTCAGGGGTTGCTTTCAGAAACTCACAAGAAAACATGTAAACACAGTAGAAAGAGTAGAAGAAACATGCTTAAGAAAGTTTTTTTTCTCAGAAGAAACCTAAACAAGGATCAGTAGAAGGAAAATATCAAAGAACACAGTAGAAAGGTATAGTATAGCAGGACATGGTAGAAGAAATACCAGAACATAGTAGAAAGCATATGAGAACATAATATGGAAAACATGGTAGAAGAAACACAAGCGTGGAGCATATAGAACACAGTAAAGAACATTCAAGATCGGAGTGTAAAACTCAGTAAAAGAACATACAAGAACATGGTAAAAGAAAAACACAAGAACACAGTAGAAAGCATGCGAGAACATGATATAAGAAACACAGTAAGAGAACAATACGAATAACAAAGAAGAAAAAATCTTAAAGCACTTAAACACTTTCTAGAAAAACCTAAATCGGAAAAGAAGGGTTTTGAGAGTAATTTCAAAAGAAAAATTAGGGAAATCATTTGAAAACTCAAGTAGAGCATAGATACATAACTGATCTAAAAAGAATCGGAGAAAACCTCGAAAGGTTAGGGTTTCAGAAGAACCCTAGAATGAGAAGGCTTTGAAAAGTCACCGATCTGAGTCGGAGAAGTTAGAATCAGGCTCAAAACACCGTGGTATGCCGGAGCAAGGCCGGCGATGACTCTGGAACCTTGAATCGGCGAAGGTCTGAGTGAAGACATTCGAGGTCTGGCCTCGAATCTTCAAGTGTCGAGCACATAGGAGCGATAAGAGGTGAATATAAGACTCACATGGCCTGAGAAGCGATGGTCTCCAGTGGGTTTCGAGGTTGAAGACGGTGGGAGACGATTAGGGTTCCAGGAATGTTCGAGAGAGTTTGAGAGACGAAGTTCAAAGGAGGCTGATTAGGTGAAAGTGATTAGGGTTAGGGTGTTTGGGAAATTAAAAAGGAAATAATTATGACCGTTGATCAAAATGATCAACGGCCTGGATCAAAAGGGGAGCCGACGGGTTTTATTAATGGGTTAGGGGTCGGGTAATTTAGGAATTGGGCTGGTCCGGTTTGAGACTGAAATAGGGTTAATTGGAGGGGGGGTTAATTTGGGCTACAATTGAAATGAAATAGGGCTAGTATTTAAATAGCCACTTTCTCCCTTATTATTTTATAAAAACAGTAAAATGATTTCTGAAAACAAATTAAAGGTGCTAGATTAATTACCAATACATTAATATCAAATTAAAAATACTGGAATCAATTTTATAATTATAAACACAGTTAATTCTTAAAATAGGCTAATATTGCAATTATATGCAATTTAGCTTTAAAAAAACTAAATAAATTTGTAAAAGTGTGTAAAAAAATTACCTTAACTATATTTTGGGATAAATATGAGAATAAAATAAATTAATCACCAAAATGATAATTTGAGGAATAATTATTGGTTGTTGCATTGCTAAAATAGGGCAGTAAATTGATTTAAAAATCTTTTAAAAATTAGTAAAAATACTAAAACATTTGGACACACTTATATATGCATACATATGCTATTTTGAAAGTATTTTGCATATAAAAAATATACAGGGAAAAATTGGGTATCAACATTCATCTCCCCTTGAGTCTCTTCAACGCTATCGTAAATGTCAATCCGAATGTCATCATTTGTTTGAACAACATTGTTTGGGACTTCCTCCTCTTATATCACTTGGTCATCATCCAAATGTCGCCTTTCACTTGAGGTGGGTGCATCCCCGCCTCTTCTACTTCTTGTGATAACCGCCATAGTATTCCTCGCATTTTTACCACTATATGGGTTCACCATCGTTGCACTTGGTAGTGCACCCTTAGGACGAGTATTAAGAGCTTGAGAGATTTGGCCCATTTGAACTTATAGATTATGGATTGATGTGTTGTGTGAGGCAAGTTAACCATCCGAGTCGGCATTCTTTTCCATCATTTGCTTAAACATATTCTCAATACGGCTCATCTCATTGTTTGAAGAACATGAACCATGGGAAGGATAAGGAGGAGGGTTGCTCGGTTGTTGATACATTGGGGGCCTTTGAAAACCCGACTCCCAATTTCCTTGATTGTTTCCCCAACCACCTTGATTATTGCCCCTCCAATTTCCTTGGTTGTTTCCACTCCAATTTCCTTGATTGTTGTTATTATGCCAATTCCCTTGATTGTTAGAACTCCAATTGCCTTTTTTATTTTGTGGTTGCCATTGTTGTTGATTGGACCTTGGAAGTTATTCCTTTGCCCCTGAAAGTTGTTCACATATTGAACCTCCTCTTCTTGCTCATGATAAGAATCATATTTATTAAAACCGCCATCATCTTACACATAATTCTCCACTCGGGTTTGCATTTTTGGACCCTTTGTCCTCGTCTTCTTCACCAACACATTTACTCCCTCCATAGCATGAACTTTCTTAGGGGTTGGCACTTGATTAAGTTGGGATTTTGCTAGTTGAGTCATTGTTGTTGTCAATTCGGCAATGGCTTGCCCATGGCCTTACAAGTCTTTGTGGAGGTGAATCATGTTGGGATCACCTTGTGGAATATTAGCTCGGGATTCCACAGCCGACGTTGTTTCCACCATCTCACATGCCTCCACAAAAGGAGTTGTCATAAAGTTTCCACCGGCTAATTGATTGACCACGCATTGGTTCGTAGTATTAATACCACGGTAGAAAGTTTGTTGGATCATATTGTTGGTCATATTATTGTTCGGGCACTCCTTCACCATTGTCCAATACCTCTCCCAAATCTCATACAAACTTCATTGGGTTGTTGCTTGAAACCCAATATTTCATCCCTTAGAGTAGCCGTATGCTTGGAGAGAATAACTTAGCAATAAACTTTGCCACCAATTCATTCCAAGTATGTATTGAATGATTAGGAAAGCGTTCCAACTAATCTAAAGCTTTACCCCTTAGAGAAAAGGGAAAAAGACTTAGCGTCAAAGCATCCTCAGAAATATTAGTTTGCTTGCTCCCCCAGCACGTATCCACAAAGCCCTTCAAATATTTCTAGGCATTTTGATTTGGCACACTGGTGAAAAAGCCTTGTTGCTCTAGCAAAGTGATCTTCACACTGGTAATTTGAAATTTTCCGCCCTAATGCGAGGGGAAACTATTGCAATTGCAGGCCTTTCATTAGGCAATATCAGGTGTTGTGACGCATGTGGTTGTGGTTGTGGAGGTGGGGGTGGTGGAGGCACGTTGTCATATTTACCCTGGCCTCGATGATTCAGTTTTGGCACACATAAATATATAGCTAACATCGTTAAAATACGCCGAAACGGTGCCAAAAATAGATCCGCGTCTAATCCGTACTCAATAGTGAGAGGAAACGATCGTTCGAAGAATAGTACCCAACAAGAGTCGAGGTCGATTTCCACAGAGACTTTATAAGGGGTTTTAGGGTAGACACTTGATGAGATTACGTGCAATAACTCATAACTCAATTGCACTTCCAACATAGAGTTTTTGTTTTCTTAGTCAAAAATTAGTACTAGCAAATGTAAACTATGTAGAAGAAACTAGAAAGCGAATAATTGTTTTTGGTGTTTTTATCAAATGGGAAAAAGCCTAGGAATGTAATACTTTGCCTAGGTGCTAACCTTATGGGTAAATCACATTAATGTTTGTTTTAGTGATGGGGATGTATTATAACTTTCAACACTCAATTAGTCACTCAATACCTCTCAGTTAGAGAGTGATTATGCCCAAATTGGCTTTCTCAAGTCCAAATGGGTATCAATTCAAACGGTTGATATGAGCTCAAGTCGGGTTTTCTCTATCTCTAGTTCAAACCCTTTAGTTAGACTAGCCAAAACCTTAACTCGCCCAATTTCTTATTAACCAAGTTTTCCTAGACTAAGTCCCTCTTTCTCAAGTAAGGACTAACTAATAGTTTAGGAAGTTTTCACAAAAGTTCCCAAATGTTCCAACACAAAACACTAATTAAATGACAAAGCCAATGAGTGGATTCATGAATAATAAGCAAATTCGGGTAAAAAACACCCGATCCAACTCTTGAAATTCCCTTCCAAAATCGTCGAAAACCGAGCTCTACAGTGAAATGTATGAAAAATAACTCTAACCCTCGATCTTCTATATATTTTCCCAGTTATTCTTCTTTTGTAGACATAGAGGGTCACTTCTGTGACTCTGCACCTACGGAAAATGCATCGCAGGTGCAGCCTCAACTAAAACGCAGTTATTTTGGCTCTTGCGAACCGAGCCGGCACCTGCAATTCTGCTTCTGTGGAGCAGAGTTTGCTTCTACTAGGCCGCTTCTGCAGATGCCTGACCGCACCTGCGGTACTGAGGCAACTGACCAAACTTCACTTCTGTGGAGGAAAATCCGCATCTGCAGACGCGCACCCGAACATGGACATCCGCACCTGCTTTGCCAGTATCACCCAGTCCAATTTTGCACTTGCAGCCTCTTGACTGCTTCTGCGGTTCTGCACCTGCCGCCAAGCCTTCGTAGGTGTGATTGCACCAGAACTCAGTTGTTCATCAGCCATCATCCTAAGTCCAAAATGAACTTGATATCAATCTGAATCAAACCTTGGGGCCGTGGGGCCCCGTCCGAACATACCACCGAGTTCAAAAACATAACGAACCTACTCGAGGTAAAATTTTTTATCAAACAACATTAATTCTGCAAATCGCACCCCAATTCAAACCTATTGAATCCATGAATAATAAACTTCCATGGAGCGGCAAAATTCTGCCTTCGCGGATGAGCATGATACCATATGTTGCTTCTTAGTCTTCTAAGATATGGGCGAGTCACCCAAAGAGATAAATCAACTCGTTAGAGAGCGTCGAATTAAAGTACTACTAGCCTAATCAAAGTCACACCTTCCATAGAAACGTAAGTCGTATTTGTTGACGGTCAATTTTGACCCTCCCTTATAAAATTAATTTATTTATACTTAATAATTTATAATAAATATTTGAAAGTAATTTCTATCAATAAATACCTGTTTTACAAAAATATGATTAAGTATTAGTTTTGAAAATTGTAAATATACTTACTAGTTTTATCATTGAGGAAATTTCTAAAATACATCTTCTAAGCTTTATAATTAATTTCATGAGTTATGTCTCAAGTTCTTATTAATTAGATTATTATGTTTAAAATTTAGTGTTATAATTTAAAAGACAAAGTAATTCATAAATAATTAATTATAATACTTAGTAGTATGTTTGGTAATTATAATTATACTATATTTTATTGAAAATAATTAAGTTTATTTAAATTACTTTTAAAAGGGTTAGAAGACCAAAAGGCTACAATTGTAATTCCTAATTAAAATACAAGTGGTTGTTTCCTAAATCAATTCCAGCCCAAAAGAGAAGCCCAATCCGGGAAATACCCAATCTAAACACCCCATCTCTTTCCATCTTGGCAATCCGGGTCACTCTCCCTAAGCCAATCGTAGTCTGCCACGTCACTCGCCTCTCTCACTTACAAAGAAAGCACAACGAATCTAGACCATTGATCTGTCAGATCAATGGCCTGCGTTTCATTCCCATTTTTTCTTTAATTTTTAGTACTCCACTAGACTTGATCTCAGTCGTCCAAATCCAACAATCCAATGGCCTTGACTTTTTCACATTTTTATTCTTTAATTCCCAAATTATCAGGGTTATTGATCAATAGATCCAATGGCCAAGATCCCATCTCTCTTTCATAAACCTAGAGACAACCCCCAATACCCACCTAATCATTCACTCCAAACACCCAGCCTCCCCCTTTCTCCTTCTTCTCTCATCTCTCTCAAACTCTCAGGCCCGTCAATCACCCAAACAATGCACTAATTAGTGCAAGGTCATGAATCATGACCATAAAATGTTCCTTCTGCCTTCATTAACCCTGATTCTCGTTGCATCTTTGCTTATTTCTCCTTTGAGACTCAAAATTCCAAATCCAAAAACTCTAACCTAAAGATGAAACTTCAAATAATCTGTGGTTTTCAAATTCATGGCATGCATGGCCATCCATTCTGTCTCTATACTACGAAACTGATCACTCCCTTTCCATTTAATAGTTTAATCTCAATAGCCCCTATTTGAAGAAGTCAGACCAAAAGGATGAAATTTCAACTCACCAGATCTCCTCCTCCGTCTTTTCAAATCAAAGTAAGCCTGAGATGTTAGCTGGTCTTCAATGTTGATATTCGACACACAGAGGTCAAATGCAATGACCTCTGGGTATTAGGGTTTGTCACGACCCGGCCGGTCGTCTTAAGAATTAACGCCCTGATCCCCTATTAACTTCTTCCCCTAAGTTCATTTCTTCTATTTTGGTTTGTCAGGACGTTCGGTGTTGGGTTTCGGAGAGTTTTGGGACACTTAGTCCCTAAATGAGAGCTTAAGTGTGAAAAGTGGTCCGTAGTCGGAACAGTGTGAAGACGACCTCAGAATGGAAATCAGATGGTCTCGTTAGCTCCGTTAGGTGATTTCGGGGTTGGGAGCGTGTTTGGAATGTATTTTGGAAGTTCGTAGCTCATTTAGGCTTGAAATGCCGAAAGTTGAATTTTTGATGTTTTCGGTCCGATAAGGAATTTTTGATCCAAGAGCCGGAATGGAATTCCGGATGTTTCAGTAGCTCCGTCGTGTCATTTGTGATGCGTGTGCAAAATTTTAGGTCATTCGGACGAAGTTTGGTTAGGTTTTTGATCGAAAGCGCGTTTTGTGGGAATTTGAAGTTCTTAGGCTTGAATCTTAGATTAGTTCGGGTTTCCGGCGTTGCTTTAGGTGTTTTTAAGATTGGTACAAGTTCGAATAAGGTATTAGGTGGTGTTGGTGCTTTTGTTTGAGGTCCCGGGGGCCTCGGGATGATTTCGGGTGGTTGACGGAATGTTTTGAAGTTGAATGGGCTGCAGAAGTTCTGGTACCTGTCATAACCGCACTTGCGGTTTGGGTTCTGCAGGTGCGGAGCCGCAGAAGCGGCCGGCCCATCGCAGATGCAAAATTTGGACTCCTCATCTTTTCCGCAGGTGCGGAAGGTTTGACCGTAGATGCGGTTCGCACCTGCGAGATTTTTACCGCAGAAGCGGAATCTGGTCTTCTAAGTGAAAACCGTAGAAGCGGTTGCTTTTCCGCATAAGCGGGACCGCAGAAGCGGTCCCTTGTCCGCAGAAGCGGAAACACCTATTCAGAAAAGGGAATTTCGAGGGTTGAGTTTCAAAAGTTGGAAAAATCAATTGAGAGCTCGGGAGAAGGCGATTTTGAGTGGGTTTTGAAGTGAAGATCATTGGGTAACGTTTTCTTAATCCCTTTTAGTAGTATTCCCTCAATATGTAGCTTAATCCATCATCTAATTTCGAATTTGGCATCAAAATGGGAGAAAACTTCTTAGACTAAACCATTGAGTTTTGGGTGAGCATTTGACCTCCGATTTGGGAGATTTTTATATGGTTAGACTCGTGAGAGTACGAGGGTTTCGAAAATGTGAAAATTATTCGATTCCGAGACATTGGCCCGAAGGGAATTTTGGTCATTTTACCTAATTTCATGTCGTAGCTTTGAATTAAATAGCAAAAACCAGTTGTTTGCGATGTTATTTACGATATGTAATTGAATTGAATAGATTTGAGCCATTTGGAGTCGGATACTCGTGGCAAGGGCGTGATTTCTAGTTGATTTTGAGCTGGTTCGAGGTAAGTGGCTTGTCTAACCTTGTGTGGGGGACCTTTTCCCCTTAGGACATGATATTTGATATTTGAAAGCCTCGTACGTGGGGTGACGAGCGCGTACTTGAGCTGATTGTTGGAAATCCGTTTTTACTTGAAGTATTTAAATTGAGTTTTTCTTGCTTACTTGTTTATTTGAATTGAAGTTTGTCCTATGCTAGTTTAGAGAAGCATGTTTAGTTGACTTACTTGCTTAAGTGCTTAAACTGTCTTATGTACTCCGTGGAGCATGTTAGGCTAGGATTTCTATTACTTGTTCTAAGTTTAGCATTTATCCTAATGTGTTGGGCTGTTGTTGTGTGTTTTAAATTGGGACTACGAGACGGCATCCCGGGAGATCCCCTTGTACTTGTTATGTTCTGGATTGAGGTGCGGGATACCAAGAGATGCCCGGCACATGTAAATGTAAGATTTGAGGATACCAAGAGATCCTCGGATACCAAGAGATCCTCGGATACCAAGAGATCCCTCATGTAGATGATGAGGATACCAAGAGATCCCTCGTGTAAATGATGAGGATACCAAGATATCCTC